TCTGCATCATTAAACCTTTGTATTTAATTCTTATCACATCTTTTTGTGTTATAAATTATATAGGTTTACAAGATGCCACTGCCCATACAGACACAAGTATGCTTGGTCAACGTATAATTCTCCCATCAAGTTTTACAGGTAGTCCCCGTCACATGCATCAGTTATATCATGATTCTATGGCTATCTGTCATTATTGGGAAAAACCGGATATATTTCTTACTTTTACATGCAATCCTCGATGGCCTGAAGTTACTTCAGCTCTACTCACTGGACAAAAAGCAAGCGATCGTCCTGATATTATTGTTCGAGTATTTCGTTTGAAATTAAAATGTTTAATTGATGATATTATAAAATATGAATTTTTTGGAAAAGTCATCGTGTATATATATGTCGTTGAATTTCAGAAAAGAAGGCTACCCCATGCCCATGTTCTTTTAATTTTACATTCTAATAACAAACTCCATACTATTTCTGATTATGATAAATTTGTTTCTGCAGAACTACCTGATAAAAATGACAATTTAGCTTATGAAACAGTAACTCATTTTATGATACACGGGCCATGCGGCGTGCATAATCCAAATGCACTGTGTATGATAAATGGAAACTGTTCCAAAGATTATCTAAGACCTTTTTCCTATTCTATTGTAGAAGGTGATAATAGTTATCCAATTTATCGAAGACGTGATGATGGAAAGTCTGTTAAAATAAAAGATGTACAAGTAGACAATCATTGGGTAGTTCCACATTCTAGACTTCTTTGTGTTAAATACGATGTACATATCAATGTCGAAATTTGGTCCTCGATTACCGCTGTAAAATATTTGTATAAGTACGTGTACAAGGGCCATGACTGCGCTACTATTGAAATTTCATCGAATTCCGATCAAAATTTAACATTCATTGTAACAGATGAAATTAAAATGTATTTAGATGCCCGTTATGTTTCTTCACCCGAAGCTGTATAGCGCATATTCCAATTTAAATTACATAATGAAAACCCGACCGTTCAACAATTGCAACTACATCTTCCTGATCAACATTTTGTAACTTTTAAAGATGATGAAGCACTTAGTGATATTTTAGAAAGAC